TTTGTTATTAACTTCTAGACAATGGTCAAGAGACATCAGTGTGGATTTATGGTGTTTTCTTGCAATCTGTAAGTTGAATTGAATTGAACTTCTTGAGCATTTAGAAGACTTGTAAAGACACTAATGGTAGAAGTCTCACAACAATCGGACGGTCAGATTGAAAATTACAGCTTGTCGAAGCTCACTGTCTAGGATTAGGGTTTAAAAAATATAAATAAATAAATAAATAAATAAATAAAATAAAAAATAATAATAAATAATAAAATAAAAAATCTGTACTTATAATATCTAGAAGCTATTAAAAATATTGTTTCTAATCACTATGTATTGGGATTAAGCTTTTATATTGATATTCAAAATAGTTTGTATTTAGATGGTTGAAATCCACTAGACTATTTGGATACTTGTAAAACCTTATTTTATCTTCCACAACTAGATACCCGATGTGTTTCTCAAGGTAGATAGCACTTAATACGACAACGTAGCTCCTAATTAAGAGTATATATTGAGGCAAGAGTGAAGCCTTCTTTACTCTTGTGAACACCATTTTAGTCTTTAGTCTTTTTATTTTTGGCAATAGCCATTCTAATTCAATATTAAATCATCTTTAAGTGACTTTTTAGCTATTTTTAGTAATAATAAGAGTATATTGAAGATTTTTTTTTTGAGATTCATGTCTCTAATACATAATATAGTAGGTAGCTTACTCCATGCTTCTTTATTAAAGTGATAATGATAAAAAGACAAGGTTCTAAGTCTATGGAATTCAAATATAATTCTTGAATAAGCTACTTATCAATCATAACTTACTGAGTCTTAGAATCCAGCATAATATGCAAAGGTATAGCATGAGTGGTATTACCACAAGTATGACTAACAACAATCATATTTTTGTCATTAACTAATTGTACAACTCTCAGGCACGAATTTTGATATTTTTGTATATATCTAGCCACAACATCAAATAAAAATAATACCTTTGTTGCCAATTATACCTTATTTGAAGGATTTATATTTGTTACTTTTAAAAGATATTCATCAAATATGGAAATAGCTTCATTGTAAGCTTTGTTTATAATTTAGCTAAATCCTCATATATAGAAGGCTTTGTAATGACTTGAGACTTCTATAATAATGACATAGGTACTTTGCCTTCTAACATTTTATAAGCCAATTGAAAGATTCCTACTGATTAAATTTTGAAGCCAACAAGTTAACACTAGAAAATATAGGTGTATTTAATATATTCTAAGTCAAGATATGTATCTTGATTTCAACACTAGTATCTTCATCTTGTGTTGAAGTTGAAATAAAAGGCTTTGCCATAGGATCAACATTTGCAAGGCAAAATAATAAATACAATTGTATATGAATATAAGAATTTCTACAATTGCTTAGATGGTTAGGCAAAGTTTCTAATACCTTATTTTTTATAAAAGAGCCTTATTTTTAGCTACTACTTAGGCACATATGGCAATTACAACCACTTTTTGTCTTATTACACCAAACATATATTTTTTCAAAGAAGAATATTTTTTTTCTACCTTTAGAAGTTACATGAGATCTGATAACTTGGCTTCATGAGGCCATACTATTAAATCTCTTCTCTAGTTTAGAAATTTTTGTTTCTAATTTTTTTTTCTTATCCAAATTATGTCATTTGTGTAAATGTAATATGAAGCAATTATCTTCATTGTGGTCAAGCTTACCACAATAAATATTCTTTGATTACTTCTTTTTAGATTTATGTCCTATTTTAGTCAACTTAGATTTTGGCTTAGACTTCTTTATGTATAAGGCTTTTTTCTTCTTAGGAGAGTTGAAATTATTCTTAGTGTAACCAAATTCACAACATTTCCAATAATATATAGTTCTTTCAAATTAAATTTCTATGAAACTACTTGTGGTAGTTGTAAGCTTCTTGGGCTCAGACACATCCATTATTTAAGCTACTATTTTAGTAGAATCATGTTGAATAAGTATCTTATTACATTTCTCAACTTCAACAAATGTTTGTATCAATTTTGCCTTGCCGTTATAGTTGACAATAATTCTTGGTGTAGCTAAATGTAAGATTTTCTTGTCAATCTTAGTTAAAAAAATCTTAATAAGTTAGCTCTTGACAAATATATCTCATAACTCTACTACAAACCAAGTCAAATAAGTATATATATTTACATAAAATATCTTTTTTTTTAGGACAAAAGTTTTGAATGCATTGCATTTGATAATGCCTAAAATTTCTATACTTGTGCTTTTAGTGCTTAATAAATATTTGGAGAGGGTCAAATGATGGTGGCTCTTTAATTTCAAATAAAGCTACTTTCATTGCTTGAGCCATGCAAGACAAAGTAAGTAGAATATTAGCTAAAGAAGTAGCTATTTCTTTTCTTTTAGTATCTTCCAAAGATGTACCAACTTCTCCTTTGATTGGATCTTCTTTCTTCACTGTAGGCATTAAGCTTGACATAGCATACTTCTTAAGAGCTGAAATAAGCTCTATGGATGTTTCCTAATAATACTTTATTTCTTGTAACTTACATGAATATTCCTCACTCCATTTTCCATAGATTTGGAGTGCCTTATATTCCAAGTGTTGTCATAAGAGCTCAAAGGTATACTACTTATTGAAAGTGGAAGACCTTTAATGCTTATCCTTCATCTATGTTTGAAACTTGAGTTTCTAATTTGACAAAGAAACGTCCTCAATTCTTTTTGAGAATTTATCCTTCACCATGTTGCAAGGATCATCTTCCATGTCATAAAATATGTCCATTCTTTAGACCAAAAAGCCTTCAAGTGGTATCTAATGCTAAAATAGGCTAAAAAGCTTCATTAGTATTTATCCGTGGTCCAAAGTCTTTGATGTGGTTATTATCTAAATATTTTGGTGAAGAAAATTGATAATATTAATTCTTAGTATATACCATAAAATACTAAAAAATAATCAAATTTGGACTCTATATACATTTATAGTAAACTTCTAAATTTGATATTTAAGAATTCTAAATACTATATATATATATATATATATATATATATTAATATTCTATAATCATACAATGGATCTATGACCATACTAGTCATATGACTATAGAATCTTGTCATTATAGTTCTATAACTTTGTAATTCTATAATTGAGGGTTTCTTAACTATAGATGGCTATGATTATGCAAGAGCCTATTACCATGCTTGCAATATCACTACATAAATCCTAAGATTTTGAATTCAATTCACTTGATTTTTGCCCAACAATTTGTGAATACAAAGTAAGTTTTAATAGTAACTAGAGTATATACAATCACGTGTCACTCTTACCTCGGATTGCAAATAGCATATAACTTAGTAAACAACAAATAAAATTAAAAATTAAAAATTTCCAAATACAAGCCACACTTGCCCTTCTTTTTTATTGTGTTGTGTATTAATACTCAATTTATAATATTGATTCATCTGTCGTCTTTTTTGTGACAATCCTCAACGAGCTCCAGCAACTCTTCTTCTTTAGCATTAATGAACTCTTATATAATAATTTGTCACTGCATAGTTTACCTCATATGCAACAAATCATGCAATGTACAATCTTGTGCTGCAACTCAAGGACTTTGTGATCTTATGTGACTCTATATCTCTCTAATCTAATACCCAGTTCATTGACTCTGCAATGACTTGATTGTATTGTAATAGTGCAATTCCCTAGGATAGTAACTCTATATTGCATTGTATTCCAATACAATAGTTCAAGTGCCTACCATAGTAATACCCATAATCTAACAGCAAAAATAAACCTAAATTGATTTTTATTTATTTTTTATTTTTAAGGTCTACTTCATTTTAATTTTCTATATTACAAATTGAAGAAAAGAAGAGATTCTTGTTAAGTAAACTATTAGAAATCTACACCAAATTAAGTCAAGCTATCTTTCATATCAAAAAGGGAGAACGTAGAGTGCAAGTGTGATGATAGAAAAAATCCTAAAGCTTTACTAAAATAGCTAAATCACCATAGCCAAGCAAAATCTTACAACAAGCTCTTTCTCTCTCTCTCAAAATCACTCACAAGACATGACTTGACCAAAATGTTAAGTCAAGGGTTTTTTTCCACTTAAGTATTCAAACCCTAGTTGATATGAAGAAAGTTAATTAATAGAAAAACTATCAATGGATGAAAAACCACTATCCAAACTAAACTGCATACATTTGACAAGGTTTGGCACCCAATGCCATATCACATGATAAAGGTTTATTATTTTCTACAACATTTTGTATGAACTTTTGAATAAATCCAAACTATTTGGATTTTTTTTTTGTTTTTTTATTTGTTTATTTTTATAGTTTCAAACCTTCTGTAGAATACTTGAAAATAGTTTTAATTTCTAATTATTATTATATATTTTTTTCAAATAATTTTGATCTAAACTACTACATACCAAACGGAAACAGAGACGTATCTCAGGTGACAAAAGACTATGCCCGATGAAGTAAAAGAACTATACTCTGAGTACATGAAAAGAAAAGTAAAGAAAAAAAGCAAACAAAAAATAAAGCATCTTTTCATTCCCATTGCAACGAAATTTAAAGAAGCGCTTCACGAGCATGCTAAAACATTGCACCTTACTCCACACTCTGGAAACATTTGCACCCTTTCGAAGAAAAGGACAAAAAAAGAAAAAGAAAAAGATAGAAAGCAAAATGAAATAAAAAACCACAAAAAAAAGAAGTAAAATTCGAAGCGCTATCAAAGACCAACTTCAACCAAAAAGCCATAAACCAGAAAGTGAAACTTCAAAATGAACACCCAGTCTCAAACCAGTAGAGGGGACACAGGCAAGTATGACTTACTAAAACAAACACAAAACAGAGCAGAAGTGAGCTACACAAAATCGGAAACCCACATCCACGTTCATCCAATAGAAATGGGATGAATTTCTTCATTCATCTATCCAGGTGTTGCTTTTTCTTCTTTGTCTTCTTCTTCAAGCTTTGCTTGGTAACTTGGTGAGCATTTGTTGACACTGACTCTGGGTGTTGTTTTTTTAAGCGACATTGGGTCAATCGCACAAAGGAACTCATCAGATTCATGAGTATTAGAGTGCATACGACGACTGTTGAGTTGGGTTGATTCGGTCGGAGAAAAAAAATTTGCATGGACGTGAGTTTTGGTGCAGGTGGTTGGAATAGTGGTTTATTTGAAGGTGTGATTTAGAAATTGGCGCGTGGGTTTTTGTAGTGATTTTAGTGGCAAGTGGTCTCAGTGCCCTGGGATGTGTTGTCGGACGAGATGTGAAGCTTGGTGTGTTTTTACTGCAATTTTTTTCTCTGTGAGTGGGAAGATTATAGATTCTGGGGTGTTTGAGTTTTGGGCTTTTGGATGTCGAGAGAGAGAAAGGGAGGCAGAGACAGAGAGATCGCCTCTCAAGGACAATTTCTTCTTTAGACTTCAATTTGTTTGCGAACTCTTTGCAGTGCGGTTTGGCTCAATCATCTGAGCTTTCCGTTTACAATTAAGTGCCATGACCGCATTTGGAGGTTTTGAGCCAGTCTTTGGCAAAGCTCAGGGGCGGCTGGAATCTTCACCTTCTCATGACCTTCTTCCTTTTCTCTTCTATCTGCGTGCGAAAAACAGCGATCACCTTTTGATCCATCTCACTGATTTCCATGCTAATACGTGGTATTCTGACATGAGCACTGAGTATTTGGAAGACATGGTACATTTTCTCTTTCTCGAATTCGTACATATCTCATCAGTGTGTGAACTTTGCGGTGATTCCATGGGGTTGTGGGTATTTTGTCTGATCAAATTTACCAGGATATCTCCTTACTGCTAGTCTTGCGACTGATGTTGTTAATGCAAGATAAATGCAAACGAACATTATGCAGAACTCTTGTTTACTCGCTCTAGAACAGAACTCAACATTGTTTTCATCTAATCTTAGGAATTCAAGCTGTTTAAGTTCGACCACTTGTTGTGTGCTAATAACCTGTTCCTTCAACACTTTCAACTCTAATCAGAATGGTGGTGCGTTCGTCGCGTCAATTACCTCAATAATTTAAAGAAGTCTGTGAACCCATATTACTCTGCACTGAATGTTTCTGTTAGTTGCTTCGATGTGCTGATGTAAGTGTTGTTGGTTAGGGGCAAACAGAAGGACGATATTGGCATTGGTGGGTCGTGGGAGGATTTTATCACCTATGTAAGGGCAGTATTTTTATCCAACAATGTGACGATTCTTCTCAAGGGATCTTTAAGTGCGATAGCCAGTGAAGGTATTTAACCTTGAAAGCTCTTCAGACAGCACAGATTATTTTAATATAGTGTTGGGATTATTTTTAAATGAAATAATCTCAAGCAAATGGTCTGTTTTCTATTAGGTGCGACTTCAGCTAAATTGGTGGGACAGAAAGCAAAGGGAACTCCAAAATTTCGTGTAAAGCTGACCAAATTGCAAGGAATAGCTGCAACTGACGCCATGGGGACTATTTCAGTGGAGATGTTCAACGTCTTTCGTTCACAGGCTGCATCTCTTTCCTCAGGTCAGTTCTTTTACGCATTTTTGTGGCTGTGAGGACTTCATCGTCACTTTGGAAAATTATTTAATTCAAGTTCAATGATGTTCTGTTCATCCGCAGTAAAGCATGTTACGCTCAAGCTTGAGCGGTTTGTATTGTGACATCTCTGCGTTAATCTTCTACATGATGGGTATGCTTTGCGCAGAGACTGCACGTACGCTCCAGTTATCCACAGCCTTCTTGCATGAGAAGGTTTCACTCCTAGCACTGTGTTAACGTATGAATTTGGTTGAGGCGCCATCTTCTTAGCTGTGTATGCGTCATCAATGTAGCATGTGCATGACTAGGGAAAGGTTATGAGAGCGAAAGAAATACTTGTGCAATGGCTGGCGAGCAGATATGTGTTTTCTGTGTTTTCTGGTTTATGGCTTCCGATGTTCGTATTTACAATATGACTTCAGATGTTCTGGCTTTTTCGTGTGTTGTGTTCTTTCTAGAATCATATTCAGTGATTTGATAAAATTGGCTCAGTCGTCAGCGTTGTACTCGTAACAATAGCAAGCAATGTATATCATCTTTCCTATTGCTGGATTTGTCTGAGCATCTGGGTTTGTGGTGATCAGGCAAGGGCAGATGTACTTCAAGAGAGACTTGACGCCCTAAGTTTCAACAAGAAGAAAAGCCGTTTCCGCCCGATGTTGGCCTTTGATGATCCTACAATGACTCAGCCGCTAGCTACTCAGAACACAATGATCGCCTCTGTGTTGGAGGATTTTAGCACTCCGGGAATTCAGCCAACCGGTACGGCTTTCGAAGCACTTTCCACTAAATGTGCGAATTCCTCTTTCTGTTCTTTATCATTGACTTCGGTGGTGAGATCCGGAACATCTGAAATTTTTGACAAAACTTTGAATAGAGATATTGGATTTATTTTTGTCTCTGATGCTCTACTTTGATGAAAAAATGCATCTTTCTTTGCACTTGCGGTCACATTTTTCTGGTAGTTGATTTGCAACCAATCACATCATACTTGTTCAAATTGATTCAGGTCCCAGCACGCAAACAGAGTCTAAGGTCAAACCAGCAACCAAGACTATCCACGCCCCTCCTCGATTACGTGCCGCCCCAATCATGAGAAGGTCTAAGCGGAGAAAAGACGCAGAGGATGATGACGATGAGTAGAATTTAACATAATTATCGGAAACTAGGCACTTCCAAGCGGAGGAGATGAATTTGCTCTTAGGTGTTCTAAATTTGCAAGAGCTGTCTGCACGGTGACGACTCAAATACCCCTTGTGTGATGTTAGAATTGGAGTCCCTGCGATCACTGTTCTGGATTTAGTTACGATGCGGTTCTCATCTCACTTCGCTCACCAAAATTGTTTGACTATTTTTCTTGCGATATCAGTTACGCAAAGAATTTAGACTTTTATACCTTTGTTTTTACATGCAACCCTCTGTTGCTTTTGGTTTAGCATGAGGTTCTAATGATACTTGAAAGATACAAATCTCACATGAGTCTCATTATCTCTACTTCTGCTGCCGTGTATTGAAATAGGAACTTAATGTCAAATCCAAACCTGTATATTGCACTGGACTTGTCTCTGGAGTGCTCAATAATCCTAAACACCAATGGCAAGTTTGATCATCACATCTTGATGGTAGCCAAACTGAAGCCATTCTTTGTCTCTGATTCAATTGATTGAATCTAATTGGTTCTATAAAATGAATTTTATCCAAGATATATGAATGAAACACACGGTTTCAAGCTTAGACTTAAATATAAGACCACCCAAGTTTCATTGCAGAACATTCTGTTCAAAACCTTGCAAGCATAAGAAACTTATTATGAATCATGGATTATTTACAGATGGAGGTCCCAATCGTATTTATCCATTGTGAACGAACAAACTTTATACCATTTGAGGAGGTTCTTGAACAACTGCAATTTATTTATGACTTGAAGAGATTTGGAAGATCTCTGCAGGTGAAGGTCACTCGTGGTTTCACAGCAATGGAAAGTTTGTTACAGTCGTAGAAGTGGCGAACATTTATGAATGTAGCTCGAAGAGAAAAGATCCCTTGTCAGATGACAGTTGTAGGGGTGGAGACACTGTGATAATGTGCAGTTTGACCAAGAAATTCCCAACTTTTCTTCTTAGGATCTTTTGGTGGAATACTAAGATTCTTCTTAGGAACTTTTGGTTTTTTGTATAAAATACATTCATGTAAATTATCACTTTCTTTGAATGAAAAATGAAGGTGAAAAAAGATATATAAGATATATGTAATAGATAATCTAATTGCACATGTGCTTGTAATTATTTTTACAAAAGTAATTAAAATTTATTCTAATAAAGATATTATAGTTCAAAGTCTTCATTTACTTATAGATTAAAAAATCAAAGTTTAAAATAATAACTAGGATTTTAACTTAATCAATTTTATAATCTTGTGTAAAATTTAATTACTTGTAATTAATAGTAACTAGATTTTGTGCTAGCTTAGAGAAGTGACAGTTAAAATCATAGTGGCTACTAAACCATATAATTAGATTATAAAAATAGTCAAAGTAATAGAAAATATTATTATAATTAATGTGTGGTTTTATGTAATTAGATAAGTATGAATTCGTATATTAAAATAATATTCTAAAAATTAATTTTACATATAAATATATATATATATATTATATTTGTGCTATATTTCTTATAGATTTCTCCTTCAAGTAGTGATTTTTAGAATATTTTATACACAATCAATTTTTAATATTTTCACTTTATTTATTCATTTTTAAAATTAATATTTTAATCCACATGATATAAAAATATGTCTAAGTCTTAAAAAAACTAGTTTATCTCTTTTCTATTTGCAATTAATTTTATTTGTAAAGAGATAAATAAGAATATATTTTAATTTCAAAAAAAGGAAAAAGAAAAAAGAATCCTCAAAAATAAGCTATAAATGAATAAAATGACTAGTTTAACATAGAAGATTTGAGATAAATTTCAAAACAAAGGTAAAAAAATCCAAACCTCCCTAAGTTGTAGTTATTTTATTATTTGTTTAGATAAACCTAATTATCTAGCATTAACAATTAATTGTAAAACACGGTTTAATACCTAGTGATAAGAAATACATATATATATATATATATATATATATATATATATATTTAGAAATAAAATTTAAACACTATATATGTATATATTATATTTTTTTGATTTATTTCATTTTTTATCTTGATTCTATTTATTATATTTCTATAGCTTCAAATTTTTTGTAATTATATGTGAAATAAGTTTATTCAAATTTTCATCATGTAATTTTTAGATTTTTATTCCAAAATTTAATTATTTCTTGATATTGAATTTAAAATTTATTCAAGTAAAAAATATATGTTTTTATCTAACAATCTAAGATGAACATATCATAACTATAGATAGATAGATAGATTGATATATTCGTTGTTGAAAATTAACTAAAAAAGCAACTTTTAAGATTTTGTATTTGGTTTATTTAATAAAATATAAAGTATGTTTTTTTAAAACAAAAATTCAACACCACAAGTTGATAAAATTATTTTCATAGAATGAGCTTCAAATTATTATGACTAGTATTGATTTATCTAATTTGTGGTCAAAATATATATATATATATATATATATATATACATACATGAAATAAATTATTGGGAGTTAATAGAGTGACACCTCCAAATTATTAAAACCACACTCCATGTGGGTGCACTCCCACTTTCCCCTCAAATCTTGTTCTCCAAGTGCTTTCCCCTGCTACTCTCTAATTGTGTCTATTCCAACTCTTCCCATCTGCTCTCCAATTGCACCAACTCAAGCTCTCTCTAGCTGCTCTTCACTTGTGTCTAGTACTGCTCTCCCTTGTTGCTCTTTACTTGTGCATGCACTCTAAATCCTCACTTCTAATGCTTCGTCTATCCAAATGCAAGTTGCTACACCAACCAACCTTCTTCAGAGTGTTTCAAAAGGAATTATGAAGTGCAATCCCAAAAGAAATCAAGAAGCAAGCAACCACAACACCTTGTAGAGAGTGACTTTAGCAATTTCGTTTATATACTAGATAGATAGACAAATATATATATATATATATATATATATATATATCTAAAATAAAAAATATGTATATGTATATACATGTACATGTACACTGCAACAGAATTAAGTAAATCAGTAACTGATTCTGGAACTTAACCTGGGCTCAAGTGGCACACCTCGGTGACCTCAGTTGCATGTGTCAAAACGCTGCAACTGCACAATCCTGAGAACCACCACCCCATGTTCTGGAACTTGGAGGATCCCCAAAACCACCGTCCGAAAACTGTTTCGGATCACTGGAAGGGTCTGATACTGGTTGGATTGTGCAAGGACTGTGCAATCCCTGTGGCTTGAGTATCATCCGCCAAGATCCGCTCTTTCTGCTGCTTCGTAGGGGCGTAGACCTGGATCGGTTTCAGCAAGTTGGTGGAGCTACTTCACCACATTTTACTTGCTCTGATCGGACTAATCTAACTACGTTGATCTTCCCTCTTTCCTCAACCTGGAGGTCCTCCCCTTCTCTAGCGATGATGCCTTTTATTGGTTACCTTAACTGTTTCTGTGCTGTAGTAGCTCCCTAATCACTGGCTCCGGTTGCTTTGGTCGATTCCTAGCTTCTGCTGATCCGACTGGAGTCCTCTTTCTGACCTCCTAATTCTTGTTTCTAGCTCGTCTAAAATGCAAGTTCTAACCTAAAACCACGTTTCATCTCATATTTGATGCTGCTGTAGCTGCCTCTGGGTCAGTACTTCATTGTGTGAACAAGCGCTTGACCCTAGGTGTGTGGTCTACTCACTCTTATTGCTGTCATGCTAGTGCAGGATTCTGCCTCGATCGACCCCGGAGTCACGTTCCGATCACTCGCATCGAGAACCTCATCTGTGACAAGTATTCCAGTTGACAGCCTAATTTGTTGTGAAGTTCAATTGAATACTCAATCTTTTGAAATGTGCTGTAATGTCATTCTGTCAAGGTTTGAGAGCGCATATAATCTCGGATTTCTGCTCTGCTCCTTGTCCCGCCCAGAGTCTATTGGTCTGTCAGCCTTTAGTGGGACGGCCCTTATTTTATAGTAGTTTTTAGCCAGCGTCAACTCTGATAACCGTATATTAGAAATATATTCCTAGAATGTCGAGCAGATCCTCCTCAAACACTTGGATTGTGCCATACAACATTTACTTGCTCTATCAAATTTTCAAGCATTAACTGGATCATTGAAGTTAGAGCTCATCGGAGAGACATAGATGAATAGAGATATTGGAACCTGAGCTCATAAAAGATGCACATGACCACCCAAGCACGTATGCGAGGGCAAATCAACAGATTCGAGTGAATGTTAAGTGATTGCCTTTTCCCATCTTGTAACTTGGAATAGGTCTGCAGAACATTCGAATCGTGAATGTTGCAGATTTCACCGTCTGTCAACCCCAGCCGCAGTTCAGAATTGTATCTAAATCTATGAGAAGGCTGATGACTGGTAACCAGTCACCTTCTGCGCAGGCCTTTTGCGCCATGACACCATGCCCTGCTACTACGTTATCGCAAACAGTTGACGGCTCCTACTGTAGTGACCCAGGGCATTCAAGTAATAAGTCAATTCCTGATTAAAGTTCACCGATGCCCATCATATTTACACAGCCGAGGGGAAAAAAAGCAATTTCCACCTTTAGTTACCTAACGGTCTCGACAAATTCAGAAATGCTTCTCTATGGCTTGTGGTTGCAGAGCTGCAGGACTTGCCCCTTGCAAAGGCTATGAAAAAACTTACAGCTTCTTAAAAAAAGACAGGGGAACATCTATAAAGCAAGGACCTGGAAAAATGGTGATTTACCGTTGCAGCAAAGAGATTTGACATGCAAATAGTATTTGTATGGGACTGAATTGGACCCAAGTTCATCAAATGGGTCTGAATACCCTAACAGTTTCTCTGCATATGAAACCGTGAAGTTGAGGTTAGAACCTACAATCTTCAAGGGTGGGCTCAGATTCCAGGGGAATCCTGCAGAGGAGGAGAGCAACATGCTCTGCTTCAGAATCACCAGAGGTTCTATAGGGGCAAGGTGCTAACTCAGTCCGGTGTACCGAACACCAATTGTTGAAATCTTACTCTGCCATGGCGTTATAATACCCTCTGGGCAGCCCCATAAAGTTACTAGCAGCCCGGATTGGTGCAGGCTCAGATCAAGGCAGCTCGTTGGAATCTAAAAGAGACTACCACTGTAGAATCCGAGTTTCTCTCCCTTGCTGTTTGATGAGCAGTATGTACCGTCCTCCTTTCTTAAAAGCGACCAGATTTCACTGGGATTGTTTTTCAAGCACAGCCTGCAGCACTGACCCGCATTAATTGCAGCTCCATTTTCTACGATAGTGCAGTCTTCGAGATGGATCGAGGTTGGAAGTTCTTAACACCAACCGAAGTTAACATTCGCGACGTTGAATGGTGTAAGAATGTTTTGGCTTTGTACATAAGGAAGTGCTTTCGAGTACGGATGGAACTGATCAAGTATCCAAGAAAGTGTAATTCCATTGCGACTTGGTGGTAGGCCGGTAATAGAGTGCTGGGTGAAGACTGGGTTGTGTAGATTTCAATGGAAAAGGACTCGTCGGAGAGGAAAGAGGTCATTTTTACGGTTGCAAATTTAGTGCTTCAATGCAAAACAATGTTTTGAGATTCCAGCAAAGAAGAGGCTGTGGTAGAGTTCGCAGTTGCTGTCATTTAACGTGTGCAAGTATTTCAAGGTCGGTATATATGGTTTTCGACTTCACTAAAGCGACTTGACACTGCTAACGTGCGGGAGGGCAGTTTGGCAAGGACCAGCCGTAGTACTCTCTGCATGCAATGCCAAAATCGTTGCGCCAGAAGATGCAAATTGCACAGATTGTTTTAATTATTGTCGTTGCGCTAGTCAGTCAGGGCAGTTATTCAGGTGTAACTGTCTAATTATTATTCGGTGGATCATATCAGTGCATGGCCTAGGCGTCAAATTATCCGAACCTGCATCTTTCTCTGTCGTGGTTGCTCGGGTAATGGTTCAAAACAGGAATTAGTCGTTTCTGTACACTGGATAGTGTAGCTAGTCATGTCAACGATCCAACTTGCGATGCTTGACAGGGTCTGAGTCCAAAAACCAAGCAAAACGAGTGTGGAACAACACTGGTGGTATGTCATAGTTCAGGATCTCCGAATCAGAATATGACAGATGATCCGAGGAATGTAATTGATGACATCTAAAGTTGTCAGCGTTGCAGAGATCCTGAAAGTATAGAGTGCTGAGGCATCATTCAATTGACGTATACCACCACATAAGGAGAGTTGTCCAGAGTAAATCTTCCAGAGCTGGTTGAATGGCAAGAGGTATTCTAGTGTCTTGAGCTCTCTTAACCACCGTGATTTATAGATTCACCTGAGGTTGGCTTGTTGAAGGAGGAGGCTTCGGGAAGCATTCAAGGAAGTTTGTAACAAGGTCCTTTGTTCTGCGTTTCTCATCAGCAAGCAAGACGCGACCTTTTTCTTTGGACAACACAAGTAATAGATGGTCACCATGGTTCTATTGCCAGACAAGCAATTCACCCAGGAGCTGATCCAGGTTCAGGAAAAACTGATCTTTTTGAACACTGCTGAGGACTACAATAGAACAACTCCGTTTGCATTGGCTAGTAAAGTTCATTTTATACAAAGTCGAAGGAGAAAGACAGTTCGGCTATATCCTCGTTACGGCTCATCTCTGAGCAACATGATTTATGTCTGCAGTCCTGGAAGCTGTACCAGACTGGCGTGGAGCATCGCGTCTTTGACCCTCTTGGTGTGTTTGCTTCTCGTTAGGGGTCGCATGGGAGAACATGGCGACGAGCTTTCTCCCTTGTCGACGATCCATGAACAGGGGTCTAGTCTTTCCTTCAGAGACCACGCTCTCCTCTCGTCCTTGCGTCTAGACGGTTCTCTCACATTCTCTAACACTTCGTCTGCTGCATCCGACTTCGGCCGCATTCGATACTCGTTACCTGGAGCTATTCTGTACCCAAAGTCAGTTCGCGACGTTGAGTTGGCAGTCCGCGCTGTGCAAAGCTCTAAGGGTTCGGGTCTCACGCTTGCTGCGAAGGGCAGTGGTCATTCGGTGCACGGACAAGCTCAGGTACACGATCCTCTTCTCTGGTTACTGCCACTGCAAAATCAAAGATTACCTTGTTAAGATTGATCACCATGAATTTGAGTTAGAAGAGATATGATCAGTGTTCACGAAGGCTTGCTGAGATCAACAGAGTCATGCTATTTTCTCCCTAAAATTTCTTCGTTTATCCGCACTTCTGAGTTCAACTGTACTTCTGGGTGATTTGCCCTGGTTGTTAACCAACTGAAGAGACCTATTGATATGTCTGAATTTCACACTTCTAGCCTAGCGCGGCTAGATTCCCATATCTACCCCTACGTGTGTTGAGCTTCAGTAAAAAGAAGCGCTACATAACTTGTGACCGACAAGAAATTAAATATAAAGCGAGCTTAGTTCCCATGGTCTGGCCGAGTATGAATGACCACTGGGTACGGTTTTATGAAGGGTTTAGTAGACTCGGCTTTGATTTCATGGCATATCCATAGAACCAGAGGCGTCCCTAATTTCAAAATCGAACATATATATATATATATATAGATATGTGTATATATATATACATATATATTGTCTAGAGAGTCGGGCATTCGAGATAAATTATGGGCTCTGCTTAGCATCCCTGAGTCCTGACCATTGCAGAGGGGTTGTGACAGAGTCATGAACAGATCGTGGCCTTATTACTGGCACAAACCAGGTCACATCCCACAGGTCCACTCAGGGTTCACCACATTCCACGCCGAGAAAAGGAAGGTACGTGAGTATTAGAGAAATAATTCCAGTCGGATTAAGCGTCTAGCCTCTGCGACGACCCGTGAATGGGACCTATAGGTCTCGCTTTTGCAGAATTCTTGTGCAAGTATTCTGCGAGCTGGTATTGCTGCAGGTATTTCATTGAATTTGAATGTACCCATGATGTGAGATTTGAGGGAATTATGTGATTCCTTCTCAACTCCGAAATCTCTCGTACAGGCCGCCCCTTTACAACCTAGATTTGTTGCCAGTCTGACAGAACCATCACTCACCTGTTTTGGCTCCCTTGGAAATATCTTGTAGACTTCTTGATCGTATCCATTATGCTTTCTGTTGCTTTGATTTGATCTACCCCATACTCATTCGGATGCGGTTTCTTTGAATGTTTGTCAGAGATTTAAAGCAATAGAATCGGTAGTTATCAGGATAGAGCACACTGACTAGAACAGAGGAGTAATCTCTAGACATCCTCGTAAGATTAGGAACATTTAAGATCCTGTGACAAAGGAATCGATTCTATCACATAATGTGCATCTGGCCTTAATTTTTGCGCAATTGGTTTCTGATCAGGCGCTAAGAGGGGTAGTCATAGAGATGTCGACTTTGAAGGGCATCAAGGTTGCTCCGAATGGAGAGCCTGGATTTCGGCATCCTTTCGTGGATGCGGCCGGTGGGGAGTTGTGGATCGATATCTTGAAGGCTACGTTGAGGGAAGGATTAGCGCCCAGATCCTGGACTGACTATCTGTACTTGAGCATTGGTGGTACTCTCTCAAATGCTGGTGTCGGTGGCCAATCGTTTCTGTTCGGACCTGAAATCAGCAATGTATTGCAGCTCGACGTCGTCACAGGTCAAAACGCTGCCGTCATCTTGCTCCATGTGCATCTTTCGCTCCTTGTTCACATTCGGTTCAAAGAGCTTGTCTGTTTTGTAACGCACCCGAAAGTTACATTTTATGGTACTGTTCAATAGTTGAAGTTTCGTGTGGGCTGAGATTGGATCATGCTGATAAGAAATCCTTTCGTATTACAGGAACGAGTCAGTTAGTTAAGTGCTCTCCGACGAAGAAATCCGATTTGTTTCATGGCGTCCTTGGCGGTTTGGGCCAATTTGGTATTATAACGAGCGCACGCATAATTCTTGAGCCTGCTCATGAGAAGGTAGATTGCACATGTATGAGAGATATAGTTACTAACACGTAATTCTGCGTTGGAATTCTGCAACAATCTTGTCGTTGTTAATCAGAAGCTCAATAATAGCTGGCTCATAAGTTGGCTATCTGATCATACGAAGGACACGTTTTTATTTGATGTCAATGAAGCCGTATTATGTTTCTAGGCCAGGTAGATACCAGTTATTAATAATTGTCTTCTGCAGGTAAGGTGGATTCGAGCAATGTACACCGACTTTGCGACGTTCACAAGAGATCAAGAAATGCTCGTTACCCAGGCTCCAGAATCAGCGTTTGACTACATTGAAGGTTTTGTTGTCTTGAAGAATAAGGATTCTAGTCACGGCTGGAATTCCGTACCCTTCGATGCAAAGAAAATCGATCCTAGCATTATTCCTGAAGAAGGTGGCTCTGTTCTATATTGTATTGAGCTTGTCAAGAAGTTCAGCCCGAACCACATGGACACCTTGAATAAGGTTCAAATTTCACCGTTAACTCCCATAGAGTTTGCATAAGTTGATTGTGATGTCAGCTTCAAGGGAGGAATGCACCAAACTAGAAAAATTTACACTGAGTGAGTATACTTCATCATTTGGTATTTTGTAACGGAAGGTTGCATGGATCTGTTCCAGACGGTGGAGAGGATGGTGGCTCCGCTGAGCTTCATCCCAACCCTCATCTTCACCATCGACGTCCCATATGAGAAATTCCTCAACAGGCTTCACGAGGTCGAAATCAGTTTAGATTCTCAGGGACTCTGGAATGTGCCACATCCATGGCTAAATTTATTCGTGCCACGATCGTCTATTGGATTGTTCGATGCTCTCATTTTCAAGCAAATGATCAAGGACGATTTCAGTGGTCCAATCCTGATCTACCCGCTCAACAGAAACTGGTAATCTCCGTTGACCTCAACGATCTGCTTTCGTCAAGTAGGTTATTGTAGCCATTTCCACCCATTCACCTCTCGCCGCTTGACTTGTCGGTACCGACAGGTGGGACTCACGATCATCAGCAGTCATACCAGACGAGAGCATTTTTTACCTGGTCGGCTTCCTTCGCATCTCACTGCCATCGTCAGGAGCCCTTCTCGGCAATCTAATCGCTGACAACGACAAAATCATGCAAGTTTGCCACAGTGCGAAACTGGGATGCAAGAAGTACCTTCCCGAGTACGAAGACACAGAAAGTTGGAAGCTCCATTTCGGCAAAAAGTGGGGATCATTCACTCGGAGGAAACAAAAGTATGATCCAGATTTCATCCTCGCCCCTGGTCAGAACATTTTTTCGAAGTCTACCGAGTCTCGCTCACTCTGACCATCTTGTTTCAGTCATTGCTAAAAAACTTCATGAATCCTGTAGAGTTATTCTAATCTAAACTCAACCCAGCTGCCAGTTGGGTTCCAAAGCCAGGTTTCAAATAAGCAACCTGTTGTGATGTTGATGAAGACTTCAGAAGGGGATGATGATACATTCACCAACTTCTGGACTGGAGATTAAAAAACCACAACTTCGAAAACCTGACTAGCACCTCAAAGCACAGATTCAAAACATTTCATGCGATTTCGATGGGGTCTTCTGGAAAAAAGATCCGTTTGGATCAGCATCCCCTTGTCTACAATGTTGTCGTCAGAGGAAGGAAGTCATGCTTTTAGAGTCTAATTCTTGCTACTTTCTCACAACAACAACAGCAATAGCAAGCTGTAAGCACAGTTGTATACTGAATGCTGCAGAGGGGCTTAGATAATCAGCTTGAATAACCCGAAGGAGACAAAAAAATAAAAGTGGGGCCAGATCACTAATACGGTTCTTCAGAATTATGCCGTGATATAATGAATTGTGAGAATGGCATGTATCCTCCAACGACAGTCTGCATCCTGTTTGGATGTTGTATGATACAGGTACATGAACTTGTGGTTGTTGGTGTTGGATCATTTATCAACGTGTAATTGCTGTCACTCAAAGTATTAATATGTCATATTATTTAAATTAAGAACTTTTTGTTTTTTGTTTTTCTTTTTTTCTTTTTCTTTTTTCAGATGGTGATGGTAGTACTTTGCTTGAGTAAATCTATTTTTTAGTGTGGAATAAATTAGAATTTTAAAAGTGTACTGTTAGTTAGTAATCACATTAAAAAGTGTTTTCTCTTTTTCTTTTTTTTTTCTTTTTTGTATTTTTTTGTTTTTGATTTTTGATTTTTTTTGCAATTTTTAATAAGATACTTTCAGTAAAGTTTCTTTGGGTTTTCATAATCTGTTTCATGTTTTGGCTCATTTATTAATTTTGAATTTTGATTAATTGGTATTCTAGATTTTAATATTTATTTGATAGTTGAGTGAAAGATAATTCTTGTTAAGACACTACTTTGACTAGATTGACTCCTTATTTTTGTTACAAATAGCAAAAGAGATGAACTAATCAACTTGAAAATTTATTCTACAATATCTTGCAATTTTGAAGGATTTTTCAAAACATTGAATTATGTGAAGTTATTTTTCTTTTTAAATGAACAAAATACTTGATGCAAATAAAAATCAACTTCGATTTGGGATTTAAAAGAAGAATTTCTTTATTTTAACAGTTTAGTATTTAAGAAATCTATTTCAAATTAACTTTTATTGGACTTTAGTATTAAATTTTAACCTTTTTTTTCATTTTTTACTCCATAAGTTTTTAAATAAGTTGTCATGATAAAATAAGGTGTTAAAGGTTTATTACTATGTTTTGATGAAACTATCCTGAAAACAAAGCAGAACTAAAATTATAAAGGATACAATTGTTTTGATGATGGTTGAATACAAAAAAAAAAAACATTCTTTCTAAAGATTTTAATTAGATTTTTTAACTCGTATATTAAACTTTAATATTTATGCTATATGTTTTGAAAGAGTTAATTTTTTAACCATTTTCAATTTTCTTTTTAATCTACTCACTATCTTCTTGTTATTTTTACATAATTTATTGAGGCAATACAAAAGATCAACTTCCGTATAACAAAGTTTCTTTAGAAAATTTGCTAAAATATAATACAAATTAAGGTAGTTCGGTATAATATATTCAATTTTAATGAAATTTAAGAAATGTAATAATTAATCCTACAGATTTCTTAATATATTTCTTAATTTGATAAATCTTGAAATGACTCCAAGCTAGATATTCTAAAATAAAATAATTTCTACAGTGATGGTTAATTCAAAAAATTAAAATTAAATAAAAGGTTTTCTAACTTTGCATGGTTTCTTTTTCTCCTTTTCATAGTTAGAAATTGCATTGAAAAATTCTAGCATATCATAGGTTAGAATCCATAAAATCAACTTCTATAAATATTTTATATGGAATGATAAAAAATAACTTTGGTGCAACAAATATTGAACACGAGTTGAATTCCAAATTATTCCAACCAAACTAGCAATACTTTACAAGAGTAGAATGCAATGTATCTAAAACATATGTTTTATAGAATGAATTATCCTCCTCATTTTGCAAAGGTCGAATTCAAAAAATATATAAATTAATATTTTTTAAAATATATATATATATATATATATATATATATATAATTTCTTCTAATTTTATGGTTTAACATATTTAATATTGGTTTCTGATTACCAAACTTAAAGATTAGATATAGATATATAAGTCTATTTTGGATACAAATCTGATGGTGGTTTTGTAGCTATGTAATGAACTCATGGTACTTAGCAGTGATACCAATGTGCTAATATTAAAATCAATACATGCAGATTTTATAAAATACATATTTCTGATAAAACATATTAAATTGGAATATAGAAGCAATCACTAAAACCAATGCTAAGCCTTTTTGTATAGGAAATTTATCTGTATATGAAACCAAAAATTTAGAATAGTATGACTCTTTTTATTAGTAAAAAGTAAGTGAAAACCTTAGAACTGATAAATTATTTTTTTATTTCGGTAGAAGAACTAAATTTTAACCTAATCTTGAATAAATAGAAATAAAAAGAAAATTAATTGCTTATATTAAAAATTAAAATACAACTTATAATTTTACAAATATTTTTTTTCTTACAAAATTTCTTTTGTTATGAAACAAATTTGAAGAAATGTAAAGCAACAATGGCTTATTTGATGTAAATAAGCTACGTAACAAATAGCTATCAGTATATAGAAAAATAAGATACAAGAAGACACTTTATTTTTTTTATCAACATATTTTTTGAAAGAAAAAAAAAAACATTTTATAAAATTTAGGAATAGAGATAATCCACAAAAATAAGATAAAAATTGTGCAACCTCTACAAATTATGAACATTACTTAGAATTACAGAAATAAATACCATGGAAGTCAATTATGTATTAAAAAATAAATGAATACAATATTAATAGAACCAAAGTTTAAAATATTTATATTATTTAGTTAACACTACTTGTTCTTTATGTTTACAATATTTAAATACAAGGAAATAAATAAATATTACAATAAAATGTAGAAAAATATCTCAGTTTTAAAAATAACGTATTAACATACTATAAAAAAATTATATCAAAATAGGTAGTTGTAAAGTTCTACAAACAACAAGACTAAATTCTAATCTATTAAATTGTTGTAATAAAAATTAAGTAGGAAAAGAAAAAGAACAATAAAAATTTAAAAAACAAGATACATACATATACACAAAAAAATCTCTATAAATAATATAGGAATTTTAAAAATATACTCATAGTATATTTCTACAAAATAAATTTGATACAGCTTTGTTGAAATATAAATATTGAACAAAATTGTGTTACAGAAATTACGTTTACTAACTTTGTTTTTCAAGTTTCCAAAACCAACAATGATCATATTCACTTGTGGCATTTTTTCAGCAACTGCTGAACATGAGACTTGAAAGGAGTCCAAAAGCTGAGGCAATTCTAATTTTTGCTTAATAGATTGTAACTTGAAGAACTTTTATTAGACCCATGTTGCTAACTTTAATGTTCGTTAGGCAAATTCATGTTGGACAGCATCACACAAGAGTTGGGGTTTTTGTCCACCTAGGGAAACCTACATGAGAGCTCTCTTACATGACTTGCCCAAACAATAATGCTCCCAGCGAGGTAAGTATGTACATCTTTTGCTACTTAATCTGAACTAAAAACTGGTCATTAAGACAATAACCTGCTTTGGGGTTGTCTACAATTACAACTAAGGCAACGGATTTTCTCCGTTCATATCAAAATAAATAAATAAATAACTAAAAACGGACATATGGCTATTGCTTTGATTAGTAAACTCAGCTCAAGACAACCTGGCTTCAGTGCATCACCAAGCATCTGCCAAGGGCTGTGCAGGAAGCGTGTAGCTTACTCTGGATTGATTATTAACCGTGAAGTCCTACCATGAAGTTCTTCACTTTGCTATTGTAACACTCTCCTCGTGTCAAGTGAAAGAGAAAAGGTTGAGGGTGAAGTCATCTTGTCCAGGGATTTTGTTTGTCTTCTCGTACAACTGCTCCCTTCTGCAGAGCTGCTTTCCCAACTGCTAATCCCAATTCAACCTGTCCCCTTCACGCCTTGAGAATTTTTAATATAGTCCTCACCACAAAAATAGTCATTGCAGTTATGTTGTCTCTACCAAACACACGTTTCCGTCGTAGTAACTCCCAGACATTGTATCTTCCATGTGATTTTTTTCACTCCTCCATATTGGAATACAGTTTGGTGAACAAGTTTTGAGAAATGGCAGGAACGTACATTAGTTTTATGTTGTTCTCTGCGCTGCGCTGAATGCACGTTTTCGCCGTAACGCCTTTGCAGAAGACATGATTTGTCTTTCATTTTGGATAGTTTCATTTCAACCAAACTTGGTCGAGAGGTAGTGTGGCTGACACTTCATTTCCTCCCAACAATCTTTCCTATTGAATTCACTCCAAGGGTTCAGATTAAGCAATTCGTGCTATTCAACCCATGATTTGTTCCACTGGCCAACTTGTGACCACATGCAATGCATTCAATTGTATTGGGATTGGCAATTATGGCTCCTGAATTGGGTCAAAGAAGACTTATTTTTCAATGCTTCCTACTATACAAAGCTACAAAAGTTTTCGCTAAAATTTGAGGTTGCACTAAATCTATATTACATAATCAGACCAATCCTTCATGATGAACGTGTGATCCATGGTTTCACCTGGAGTTTCGCTCAACTTGGCAGGCTTTTGTTTACCTCCGATCAAGCGAGCAGGGTTCCCTACAGCTGTAGTGTGTGGGGGCACATCGATAAGCACAATCGAACCAGCTCCAATTTTTGCCCCAGCTCCAATAGAGATATTGCCTAGTATGGTTGCCCCAGCTCCTATCAGAACGCCATCACCGATTTTCGGATGCCGATCACCTCCTACAGCCCCGGTTCCTCCAAGCGTAACATGGTGCAAAATAGAAACATTATTCCCTATAACAGCTGTTTCGCCTACAACCAGTCCTGTGGCATGGTCGAAAAGAACGCCTGAGCCAATTCTGGCTGCAGGATGAATGTCAACCTGAAAAACCTCTGAAACTCTGCTCTGAATAGCGAGAGCCAGGGAGTGCCGCCCTTGATTCCAAAGTCTGTGAGCTACTCTTTGAGCTTGGCATGACAAGAATCCTTTGAAGTTCAGCAAACAATGGATGTATGACACACAAGCGGGGTCACGCTCCTTCACAGCTTCTATATCGTCGCGGATGGCGCGTCGTATGTCGGCATCCTCCATAAAGGTGTCATGCAGAAGGTTAAAAAGCTGCGTGCTTAATAGCGTGCTACTGGAAAGCTTGTTTCCCAAATGGAATGCGAGCGATCTCTCCAGGGTCCTGTGAGATAGTATCGTCGAATATAAGTAGCTGGCTAGAGCTGGTTCTTTGTTGGAGTCCCAGCGCGCTTCCTCTATCATTCTCAACCAAAGCAGATCTTCTTGACCTCGAGACGGAAGCTCATCGAAACCATTCAGGTCCACATCATCCGCAGCAGGGGCACTCGGCCCTCGAAGTTGTGACAGAGCCGAATTCTGACTCTCCAATTGGTGTATGACATTCCGCAAACTATCGAGCACCTGTGAGTCCCTAGTCCAATTGTTGCCGGAGCCTCTCTCCCCCATCAAAATCGCGACATTGGCCTCCAAACCCTTGGCAACACCGCCTCGGCTCTTCCTTCCCCCAACCCGTGCCACGAAGTTTGAAAACATTGCACTGCCACACGCAGACAAAGAAGACGACGAGCATTCTGACCGCTGGCAAGAAGACGACCCGTCCGATCGGAGTGCCAGCGACACCGGCGCACATTTCGCACAACCGCTCTCACAGAACCGCGGTTTCGCAACACCGCTCCCGTCCATCCTCACCACCGAGCTCGACACCGAGCCGGACACCATCGCCACGATGCCAGCTCTTGGCAAAACAGGCGTTCCTCCTACCGCCATCATCAAACACCTGCTTCTCAAAATCTCCAACCACCTAAAACTCCCGAATTCTACAATCCAAACTATCTCTACAGCTCAGAACTACACAAAACCTACCACAACAATCACCCGAACAATTGCCGAAACCTCTTATAAAAAGTGTCGCGTTTACTTCACTACCACACACACAAGTAAGAGAGGATTCACGCAGCTCCGAACTCTTCCGTTACAAAACCTCCAGAGCTCAAGTTCTATATCGAACTACACCGTAAGATTCTGTTTCTATTCCGCAGTGCTACGACGTCCATTACGTAAGAAGAAGAAATAGAAGAAGGGGAATTGAAGAGTGGGATCGCAGCAGAAGCAGAAGCAGCACCAGCAGCAGCAGGTCTCGATTCATATAAGTCTCGATCAGTCTCTCGTTCTCGTTCAGGTCCATCGTTCGTGAGCTTCGTTGACACCTTCCCCCCTCCTCCGCTGTCTCTCCCCTTCCTTCCCTTCCCTTTCCTTCCCGGCTTCCGTTCCTATTTCTTCTTCTCTGCCCCCTTTTCACACTGTGTCAGATTCCCCTTCCCCACTGATTTTCTCCATTCAACTCATGCCACGTCTGCAGCAGGCGAGGTCCCCATTTGAGTTTATTTGTTTTATCTGTATATATTTATTAAGGTCACTTGGATTTGCGCGGGAGCCTTCCTCAACTCAGACTGGACCTGAACTTCGTAGATGTGGATGGCGTCACACTTTTCATTCGAGGCGGCTATTTTTTTTGTCTTGTGGCGGTGGTTTGGATGAATGATACATGTCAGTTAGTGTGGATGAATGCTGGTGTCGGGGAGAAGGGAAACTTCTGGAGCAGGTAGGGAAATGCGTTACGTGGGGTTCACACTTGCTTGATGGCTTGCTTGCTTCATTGCTTCTTCTTCTGTCGGGTTAAATCCGTTCATCTGTTCATCCATTTTCTCATTTGTGGTTATGTTTGGTTATGTTTGGTGTTTTCTATCGTAGGACGTGTTAGCTGAACATCACACACACCCCCCCCCCTCCTAATTATTATGAAAGGTGGCACAACATACTTAGAAAAAGAGTTCTCTAAATAATAACAGTGGTAGTTTTATCAAAAAAAAAAACTTAATAACAAAATAATTAGCATTTGCAAAGTCATCACTTCATATTAGGAGGCTTGGAACCATGAAAAGTTTCCAGAAGAAATCAAATTATATCTTTTCTAAGTGTACACAACCAAGTACTTTTCAAAATCCAAAACTTGATACATAACCAAGCTTCTCAAAGGTCACCAACCCTCATTATTTAGAAAATAGGTCAATCTTTTTATGGGTTTATTGTGGTAGCTCTATAAACTAGCATGATCATGTGTCAGTAATACATCCCCTCCTTTTTTTCTTTATTAAGCATTTTTTTAGGAAATACTTTCAAAAGAAAATTGAAATTTTTGAGAATAAGAGTTTTGGTAAGGAACAAAATGATAAGTAAGATTGGGAATAGACGCAAAAAAAATAAGACACTTAATTGAATAAGTCAATTTTAATAATATATATAGTAAAAATGTTGTGCGCATTGAGTATTTTAAAATATATATATATATATATATATATATATATATCACAATCGTTTGACATCATTAAAAATTAATTTTTAGAGTTTTGAAATATAATGAAAGTAAGAATATTTTTTAATTAAAATTTAATTCCAATTTTGGAGTAAAAGATATATTTTGAGATATTATAATATTTACAAATTTTTATTTTACCATTTATAAAAATAAATTTATTATTTAGTAATAAAATTCTTATTTTTTTCTAACCTCTTATATACTAATAGTACATACAATTATATTATTTATTCATAAACTAACAAAAAATAAGATTAAATTATTTATAATATATTTATATATTAATTCGAAAGGTTAAAATTTATGATTATTGGCTACAATAGCAACTGAAAAAAATACTAAAAAAAATACTAATTTCATGTTATAAAAAGTATAGTATAAATTAATAATAATTTATTTAAATTTACTATAGATATAATGTAATACAATAAAATACAAATTTGATCACCTTTAAGATTTTTTTATTTTTCTTTTTTCTTTTTACTACTTTGGATAGTTTCTTAGAATATTTAAAAACCTTCTAAAAACCTTCTATGGATTTTACAAAGTTATTCTAGTATTCTAAAAGTTTAAAAAAAATCCTCTATAGCTTCTAAGAGCAATTGTAGTTTTTTAAGTTTTATTAATTATTTTTTTATTCTCTAAAAAAATTAGTAGGATAGTTTATAAATTTATATAATATATTTTAGATAGTTGAATTCTTTTTTAAACCTTCTATGCAACCTACATTGACTCTCAAAACCAAGTCAATCAGCAAAACAACAAAAATAAATAAAAATAGAAGCAATATCTAGAAGAATACTGATCCCTTTTTCAAAACTATAAATTGTGTGAAAGGTGCAACCATGTTAGCTATCATCCTTCTAAATTTTAGCTTGAGAACTATAACAATAAGTGAGAAATTGTATTTCAAATGAACTTAGTTCTATTGACTTAGTTTTGTAACCTACATCTACTTGCATATCAATAATTTTTTCACCCTCTTTTAGGAGTTAGAACAACTTGGATACAATTGGACATGCTATGATAGAACTTTTGATACTATTCAATAGTAATGGAATTGAAAGAAGCTTGTAGATGCTCCCACAATTGAAGCATTATTTTGGCTAGTATTGAATATTCATCTAGTTGTTGTTTCACAAGTACCCACATATACTTAATTAGATTTGGATGAGGTGATTGAAAAGGCCAAGTAAGTACATCAAAATATTGCATTGACAACTATTGTTTAATTGATTTTTTAGTATTTTTAGCATCATTAAAATATTAAAACATGACAAAAAAAGAATTCAAATAATATTATTCACAAGCTCATCTTGAATGCTAAGATACAAATCTTGTTTCAACTTCCCTTCTATCTTGCACATGTAATTCATGCCACAAGTAGTTATACAACTCCATACAAAAATTGCACCACCTTCGTATTTAATTAAGTGACTCACTTGATAAGCTTGTAATCAAGATTCTCCATTCTTTCTCCAATATCAATCTAAACTATCAGATTGAAATCATTTTTCTTAGTCTCCTTACTAAAAATCACCTTATACCAATCATAGATAATATTATCTTAATGAAGTTGAGCAAATTCTAACTTACAATACACATTCTAGTCGTGAGCAACAACTCCTATGCTTCTCTAATGACCTAAAACTTAATTCATGACGTATACTCTTCACTCTATTAATTCTCATCACCACATTTAAGTACTCACTCAAAGCATTTTTCATGTCTACAATATTATCTAGTCCATTAATTATAATAATTCTTATGCACTTTTGTGGTTATATATTTTGTAGTATTTTAGTATTTTTTGCATGTTTAAGTATAATATTTGATATATTACAAAATAAATATTAAATTAAAATTATATTTCATTTATAAATATTATACTTCAACATGCTAAAATACTAAAATACTACAAAATAAATATTTTTTAAATTATAATTTTATAAAATTTTAAAAAAATCTATTTTTTATTAATAATAATAGAGATAGATAATAAGATGATTTTATTAAAAACAGAGATATGAAGGAAAAAAAAAAGTTGATGTATTTATCTATAGGAAATAAAGAAGAAAGAAAAAAAAATAGTTGTAGTTACAAGATAAATTTAAATTAGAATAATTAATACTATGTATAACAAAACCAAAGAATCTTGAATCAAAACGAAAAAAAAAAAAAAAAAAAAAAAAAAAAATTGATAAGTCTTAGATAGCCTTAGTCTTTATTGTACATGTATAAATTACAAAGAAGATTGTATACTAGTTCTTAAGAACCATGAAAATTCTTATTTAAACATCCAAGTTTTAGAATGCTTGTATATTTACTTCTTAAAAATAGATAAGAATAATCATATAACCAAAAAAATCTTTAAAAAAATTTACAAATCTAATTTGTTTCAAAAAAACTTCCATGATATTTATTAATAAAGATATAATATGCCTAATTTTTTTTTACTTTTATATATTTTTAATCCCTAATATTATGCTAAAGTTGCAAAAGATTTATTGATTTATAATTAATGGTTTAAAACAAGATTTTAAACTATCAATGATTATAAAAAAAAATTGTTACAATATTTTATTTTATTTTTTTTTTTTCCAAAAAATTTTAAATTCAAAGCTATTGATTTGGAAGTGATTTTGAATTATTGGATGTAATTTTAGATGTGAGTCTAAAATTACCCAATGATTAATTAATATCAAAAAGATTTTAAAATATTTGAGTTGAATATCTAACTTGAAAAGAATGTAGCTTTTTAAAGACATATAAAAAGATTTTAGAAAATTAACTATATAATAAGAGTAAAACAAATTAAGATTTAAATATAACAATGAATTTGTATAAAAAAAATTTAGCTATACGATGGCAATTTTTTTTTGTTTTAATACCACATCTATAAAAATGTGTTACTTTAGAATCTTTAGATAATTTTGCAAGTATTAGAAATAAATCCATCTAGATCAATAATAAATACATTATTATGACATTTATTAATAAAGATTAATTTGAAGAATACATTACATGTACAAAACAACGTCTCATTAAGACATGACTAAATCGCAAAGATACAACAATAACAAAGAAAATAAAATAGAAGATAAAAATGAAAAAATAAATAATAATGGTAAACAAGTTAAAACTTTTGATAAAATTTAGTACTAAAATATTTTATATAAAAACTAGAATACTATAATTAAGCAATTTCATAAGAAAGTTAATAAATTTCTAAAGAAATTGAAGAAAAATATATTGTATATTTATTGTAATTTAAGTTGTATAAAAAATGAACATATACACTTTAGAAAATTACTTATAATGCATAGTAAATTTACCTATAAAAATATTGTGTGTGCATGTGGTAGGTCTCGTATGAGAATAATTCTACCAAAATTTGTACGAATTTGTTTGTTTGTATTTGTGTGTTTCTTCTTTTTGTTTTTTTTTCTTGCAATGATACTTCCTTCATGTGCCTCAAAGTGAATACACGCATAAAAATCAATATGAGATTCCACATCCTTATTTTTCAAAAATGCTATTCTCGTTATTTCGCATTGATAAATTCATCATTCATCGACATTCATTCAATCATCATCCAACAGAGGTCCCACAAGACGTTGGCGCAAGCATCGAGGATGTCTGTCTGTCTGTCTGTCTGTCAGTCAGTTGCCACGCTGGCATTGGTTCCCAACGACGGATTACTTGTTCCCTTGATTACGGTTCCCCTCTGGCCAAATTAGACATGCCTGGAATCTGAGC